CCTGTTTGGATTGTCGGACAAGGACGAGCCCACAGAGCCTATGCCGCCAAAGCATCACGGGACACTGGACACATGCGACAAAAAATAAGACGATCCAGCCGTCTGGTGACCACTTTCCCCTATAAGAATAATTGAAATTATGTCTAACCAAATCTCCACGCCATTGCGGCGCGTCAGCATTTTGGCCATTGATCGGGTATTCGCTTCAACCCTCATGCAAGCCAAGGATTTCTTCCACCTCGCCAGCCTGCGCTATGGCAAGCAACAAGGCCTGGGCCTGACACCCGCGTTCGAAACGCGCCTGGTCAGCCCCGACGGGCAATCGGTGCGCAGCTTCAGCGATGTGATCATGCCGGTGGACGGCGGGCTGGAAGACGCCGATATCATCGTGTTGCCGGCCTTCTGGGATGATTTCGACGCCCTGTGCGGCCGCTACCCCCAAGTGCTGCCTTGGCTGCGCGCGCAACACGCACGCGGCGCCGTGCTGTGCGGCGAAGCCACCGGGGTGTTCTGGCTGGCTGAAGCCGGCCTGCTCGATGGCAAGGAAGCCACTACGTACTGGCGTTTCTTCAACGCCTTCAGCGAACGCTTCCCCAAGGTGCAACTCAATCAGGACAAGCACCTCACCGACGCCGACAACCTCTACTGCGCCGGCGGCACCACCTCGGCGTGCGACCTCTATATCTATCTGATCGAACGCTTCTGCGGCGCCAACATTGCCCAGGCCGTGGCCCGGGACATTCTCTATGAAGTGCAGCGCAGCTATTCGCCTGGACGTATTGGCTTTGGCGGGCAGAAGTTACACCAGGACGTGATCATCCTGCAGATCCAGCACTGGCTCGAAGAACACTTCGCCGACAAATTCCGCTTCGAAGACGTGGCCCGGGAACACGGCATGAGCATCCGCAACTTCATGCGGCGATTCCAGACCGCCACCGGTGACAAGCCGCTGCATTACCTGCAACGGTTGCGCATCGAGACGGCAAAGGGCCTGCTCTCAGGCAGCCGCAAGAGCATCAAGACCATCAGTTATGAGGTGGGTTACGACGATGCGAGTTTCTTTGCGCGGCTGTTCAGGCAGCACACTGAGTTGTCGCCCAACCAATACCGCCAGCAGTTCCAGCAGGCTGCTTAAACCAATGTGAGAGGGGGCAAGCCCCCTCTCACACTTAGGGTTTGTGGCCGCGCGAGAGGAACTCGTGTGACTGCATTTCCAGCAAGCGGCTCAAGGTTCGCTGGAATTCGAAGTTCAAACGACCGCCGGTGTAGAGGTCTTTGAGTTCGACTTCCGCCGAGATGATCAGCTTGACGTTGCGGTCATAGAACTCGTCAACCATGTTGATAAAGCGCCGCGCGATATCGTCGGTGGTGACGCTCATCTGTTCCACGCCGCTGAGGATCACCGCATGGAAGATCTTGCCCAATTCGATGTAGTCGTTCTGGCTGCGTGGGCCGTCGCACAGCTGGCGGAACTCGAACCAGGCCACGTCGTCGCAGGTGCGTAGGGCGATGATTTCGCGGTTCTCGATCACCAGCTTGTCGTTTTCCACCGCCTGGGTGCATTCCGGCGTGAGCGCACGGAAGCTCTTACGCAAGCTTTCGTGGGCGGCTTCGTTCAACGGGAAGTGGTACAGCTCCGCTTGTTCGAGATGACGCAGGCGGTAGTCGACGCCGCTGTCGACGTTGACGATTTCAGTGTGTTGCTTGATCAGCGCAATCGCCGGCAGGAAGCGCGCACGTTGCAGGCCGTCTTTGTACAGGCCGTCGGGCACGATGTTCGAGGTGGCGACCAGGGTCACGCCGTTCTTGAACAGTTCTTCCATCAACGTGCCGAGGATCATGGCGTCGGTGATGTCGGAAACGAAGAATTCATCGAAGCAGATCACCCGGGCTTCCTGGGCAAAACGTTTGGCGATGATGGTCAGCGGGTTTTTCTCGCCCGGCAGGGTCTTCATCTCTTCGTGCACACGCTTCATGAAGCGGTGGAAGTGGGTGCGGACTTTTTCCTTGAACGGCAGCGCTTCAAAGAAGGTGTCGACCAGGTAAGTCTTGCCACGGCCCACGCCGCCCCAGAAGTACAGGCCTTTGACCGGCGTGTGGTCTTTCTTGCCAAACAGCTTGCTGAGCATCCCCGGCTTGCTTTGCGAGGCCGCGAGCAGGTCGTCGTACAGGCGCTGCAAATGACGCACCGCCGTTTCCTGGGCCGCATCATGGAAGAATTCAGGGCGTTTCAGATCAGCTTGATATCGTTCTAGGGGCGTCATAATTTCGTTAGCAAGGCAACAAAAACGGGCCGTCACTGTAACGACGGCCCTGGATAATGGCAATCAACCCTTGGTCGGGTTAATCCTCGAGGGGGGTCAATGCGATGCGCAGGGCTTCGACGGCCGCGTCAAGCGACGCAGGGTCGGCAAACTCAGCGCTGTCGGCCACCGCGGCGCCGTCCAGCCATACGCTGAAACGCAGACCTTCGGTGCGTACGTCCAACGCTTGACCGCTTTGCAGTTGTTTAGTCACCGCGCCCGCCGCCTTGCCATCGGCAAAGTTGCGTGACAGCAGCAATTGCTCGCCATCGGCGGCCAGCAGGCGGAAACGGAAACTGCCGTCGTCTTCACGAAAGCTGACGAAGCGCGCCGTCTTGGCGGCTTTCTTCTTGGCACTGACCGGCGCGGCCGCCTGATTGACGAACGAACGCAAGCCTACCGCTTCACGCAACTCGGCGAGGAACGGTGCGGCCACGGCGCGAGCCTTTTCGGCGCCGACCAGCAGCAGGTCTTCCATGTCCGAAGGGCGTGACATCAATTGGTGATAACGCTCGCGGGCCTCACCCAACTGGCCGTCGAGCAGTTGGAACAGACGATTCTTCGCCTCGCCCCAGCCCAGGCCTTGCAGCAGCTCGCCACGGAACTCTTCTTCTTGCGCTTTAGTCGCAAACGCCTGGTACAGCGTGAACAGGTGCGAGTTGTCCGGGTCCTTGGCTTCGCCCGGCGCACGCGAGTCGGTCACGATGCGCGAGATCGCGTCTTTCATGTCCTTGGCGCTGGTGAACAACGGAATAGTGTTGTCGTAGCTCTTGGACATCTTGCGGCCGTCCAGGCCCGGCAAGGTGGCGACGCTTTCTTCGATCAACGCCTCGGGCATGGTGAAGAATTCTTTACCGTTGCCGAACAGGTGGTTGAAACGCTGGCCGATGTCGCGGGCCATTTCCACGTGTTGGATCTGGTCGCGGCCCACCGGCACCTTGTGCGCGTTGAACATCAGAATGTCCGCCGCCATCAGCACCGGGTAGCTATACAGCCCCATGCTGATGCCCGCATCCGGGTCTTCGCCGGCTTCCACGTTCTTATCCACCGACGCTTTGTAAGCGTGAGCGCGGTTGAGCAGGCCCTTGGCGGCGACGCAGGTCAGCAGCCAGGTCAGCTCGGGAATTTCCGGGATGTCGGACTGGCGATAGAACGTCACCCGGTTCACATCCAGGCCACCGGCCAGCCAGGTCGCGGCGATTTCCATGCGCGAGCGCTGGATGCGCTGCGGGTCATCGCATTTGATCAGGGCGTGGTAGTCGGCCAGAAAGTAGAAGGAATCGGCATTGGCATCCTGGCTGGCGAGGATGGCCGGGCGAATCGCACCGGCGTAGTTGCCCAAGTGCGGCGTGCCGGTGGTGGTGATGCCGGTGAGGATACGGGTACGAGTCGTCATGGGTAATCGCTTATCAGACTGCTATCAATTCGAGAGACGCGGCAGCACCAGATCCTTGAGGTCGGTGAGCTTGCCGTGAAAAAAGTGCCCGCATTCTGCCACTTTCAGCAGCTCATGGGGACGTTTCAACGCGGCGGACCAGTCGTAAACCAACTGCGGGTCGACTACTTCGTCGGTTTCCGGCTGGATCAGGGTCAACGGGCAATTCTGGGGCAGCACATCGTTATCGCTCAGACGCATCACGGCAGCGGCGACCATGAACAGGTGCGCAAGTTTTTCGCCTTTGGCCTCCAGGCGCCCGCCGAGGCTCGCCGCCACATAGCCACCAAAGGAAAACCCGAGCAAGGTGATCGGCAGGTCCGGGTGTTTTTCCCGCAGCCAGGTGACGGCCGCTTCGGCGTCGTCCACTTCGCCAGTACTCATGTCGTGAGTGCCGGCACTGGCGCCGACGCCACGGTAATTGAAACGCAGCGTGATCAAACCGGCATCGCGGGCGGTGCGTTGCAGGGTCGACACGACTTTATTGAGCATGGTCCCGCCCTGCACCGGGTTAGGGTGGCAGATCAGCGCCAGGCCACGTGCTTCGGGCTGATCCAGGTACAAGGCTTCCAACTGGCCTACCGGGCCATCGATCAAAACGGGGGTTTCACGCATGAGCAAGGAATGAACTCCGTGACCTCTCAATGGGTCGACTCGTCTAGCTAAAAATCTGTGCATGACATCATTGCGAGCTTAATCGCGGTATACAGCGCAGGTCCGAGCCGTTAACGTAAAGCAAAGCCGTTTATAGAGGAAGGACTCGTGGAACACTCGCTCTTAGTTTGGTTGTTGCCGACTCTTGCCCTGGTTGCCGGTGTCGCCATTGGATTCCTGGTTGCTCGCCTGCTGCCGAATGCCGCGCCTAACCGCACGCAGCGTCAGCTCGATGACATCCAGGAACGTTTTGACAGTTATCAGAACGAGGTTGTTACCCACTTCAATAGCACTGCGACCCTGGTCAAGAAGCTCACTCAGAGCTACCAGGAAGTACAGGATCATCTCGCCGATGGCGCTAACCGCCTGGCCCTCGACGATATTACCCGCCAGCGCCTGCTGGCCGCGCTGCACTCCGATGCACCGCAAACACCACGGGAACGCCTGACCCCGCCCCGGGAAAATCAGGAACCGCCACGGGACTACGCGCCAAAAACGGCGGATGCCCCCGGCATGCTGGATGAGCATTACGGCTTGAAGAAGTAAATCTTTTCAAGCCGCAAAAAAGCCCGGTTGATCGATGATCAACCGGGCTTTTTGTTGGGCCTCGTTTTTCGGAATAGTGGGCTTCAGGCCACGGGTTGTTCTTGAAGCCAACCGCCTTCGATCCGCACATGCCGGCCATGGAAGCGCTTGAGGCTGCTGCGATGGCCGACGCTGACGATGCTCAACCCCGGCAGTTCATCGATCAATGCTTGATACAGCGTGGCCTCATCCTCTTCGTCCATCGCCGATGTGGCTTCGTCCATGTACAGCCATTGCGGTGCATACAGCAACGCGCGGGCGAAGGCCACGCGCTGCTGCTCGCCCGGTGAAAGCATGCGCTGCCAGTGGTTGGGCTCATCCAGACGGTCCACCAGATGCGGCAAACGGCAGGTTTGCAAGACCTGTGCATAACGTTGCGCCGAATAGACGCCGTCGTCCTGTGGGTAACTCAACGCAGCCTTCAACGTGCCGATTGGCAGGTAGGGCTTTTGCGGCAGGAACAAGTAACGCTTGGCCGGCAGGCGAATGCTGCCGTGGCCGGCCGGCCACAAATGCCCCATCGCGCGCAGCAAGGTACTTTTACCGCTGCCGGAGCGGCCGCTGAGCATCACACGCTGGCCCGGTTCAACCACCATGTTCGCATCGGTCAGCAGATGGCGGCCGTCCGCCAGGTTCATGCCCAACCCTTGCACCACAAGGCGCTCCCCCTCCGCGCTGACGTCAATGGCTGCCGGGCGCTGCTCGTTTTCACTCATGGCCTGCTGGAAGCTCAACAGACGATCGCTGGTGGCGCGCCAGCTGGCCAGCTCGGTGTACGCGCTGATAAACCAGCTGAAGTTATCCTGCACGTTGCCGAACGCCGAATTGATTTGCATCAGCTCGCCTAGCTCGATCTTGCCGGTGAAGTAACGCGGCGCGGCGACGATGAAGGGAAAGATGATTGCGATCTGGCTGTAGCCGGCGGTGAAAAACGTCAAGCGCTTGGACACCTTCATAATGTCCCAGAAGTTATGCCAAACCTTGCTGAAGCGTTCGCTCAAACGCTGATTCTCGTTCGGTTCGCCGTTGTACAGGGCAATGCTCTCGGCATTCTCGCGCACACGCACCATGGAAAAACGCAGGTCCGCCTCGAAGCGCTGTTGCTGATTGCTCAAGCCGATCAAGCGTCGTCCGATCAGGTGGGTGAGCCAACTGCCGACGGCGGCATACAACAATGCACACCAGAACATATAACCAGGGATGGTGACGCCGAACACATCGATACTGCCCGAAACACCCCACAGGATGATCGAGAATGACACCAGGCTCACGACATTACGCAACAGCCCGAGCCCCAGGCTCAAGGTGCCGGTGGTGAAACTGTTGAGGTCTTCGGAAATCCGCTGGTCCGGGTTATCGGTGTAACCGCCCTGCTCCAGTTGGTAGTAGTTTTTGTGGGCAAGCCAGCGCGCAAAGTGCTTTTCGGTGAGCCAGGCGCGCCAGCGGATGGTCAGCATCTGGGTCAGGTACAAGCGATACACCGCGCCCAGGATCGCCACGGCGGCAATCGCACCGAAATAACCGATCAATTGCCAAAAGGCGGCCGTGTCCTTCTTTTCGAGGGCGTTGTAGAAGTCCTTGTACCAATGGTTGATCCACACCGAGATCGCTACGCTGAACAGCGAAAGGCCGATCACCGCCACCAACAACAACCAGGCCTTGCCCTTCTCTTCACTGCGCCAATAGGGCGTGATCATTGCCCAGGTTCGGCGAAAGAATTGCCCACGGACCGCGTCATTGACCGCGGAGTACTCAGCGTTCTGATTCATCGTTCAGGCTCGGTAGGAAAAACATCACAGGCGTTTGAGCCGATCATAGGCGATCGGTTCAGGACGTCCTACAAGCTGAAGCGATTCGTTCAGTCGGGGTTCAGCGCCGTACCGGACGCTTCTGCAGCTTGCGCTGCAACGTCCGGCGATGCATGCCAAGAGCACGGGCGGTGGCGGAGATATTGCCTTCGTGCTCGGTGAGTACGCGCTGGATATGCTCCCACTGCAAGCGGTCCACCGACATCGGGTTTTCCGGCACCAGGGTGTCGAGGTCGGCATGTTCGGACAGTAACGCGGCGAGCACGTCGTCGGCGTCCGCCGGCTTGCACAGGTAATTGCAGGCACCGCGCTTGATAGCCTCGACCGCCGTGGCGATGCTGGAGTAACCGGTGAGAATGACCACGCGCATTTCCGGGTCCAATTCCAGCAATTTGGGCAGCAGCACCAGGCCGGAGTCGCCGTCCATTTTCAGGTCGAGCGCGGCGTAGTCCGGCAGGTCGGCCTGGGCGATGGTCAGGCCCTCTTCGGCGGAACCGGCGGTGCTTACGCGAAAACCGCGACGGCTCATGGCGCGCGCCATCACGCGGGTAAATGTGGCGTCGTCATCTACCAGCAGCAGGTGCGGCAGTTCTTCGCCTTCGACTTGGATCTCATCACTCATCGATATCTCCTCGTGCGACACGGGGCAGGCGCAGCTCGGTGAGCGTGCCGCCGTCCTCATGACTATAGAGCTTCACTGAGCCGCCGGCGCGGGTCACGCTGGCCTTGCTCAAAAACAGACCGAGGCCGAAGCCCTTGCCCTTGGTGGTAAAAAACGGTTTGCCGATCTGCTCGGCAATGGCCAACGGCACGCCCGCGCCGTGGTCGCGAATGCTGATGGTGAGGTTTTCCGTGTCCCAGTCCAACTGCACTTCGAGGCCTTCGGGGCAGGCATCAGCGGCATTGTTCAACAGGTTGAGCAGCGCCTGGGTCAAGTCCGGCGGCGGCGCCATGCGCGGCACCGGGCCCTGGCCCAGTAGATGGAATCGGTAACTGGCCTCGGGGCGCATCAGGTGCCAGCGGTTCAGGGCTTCGTCGAGCCACTGGGTCACGTCCTGCATCTCCACCGCCAGGCGGCGGTTGGCTTCGGCGGCGCGTACCAGTTGCTGCAAGGTTTGCTTGCACTGCTTGACCTGTTCGCGCAGCACGCCGAGATCCTCTTGCAGCGCCGGGTCGTGATGGTCCTGGGTCATCTCGTTGAGCAGCACGCTCATGGTCGCCAGCGGCGTACCTAATTCGTGAGCCGCGCCGGCCGCTTGAGTGGCCACGGCCAGCAATTGCTGGTCGCGCAAGCCTTCTTCACGGCGAATGGCGCGCAGTTCTTCCTGCCGGCGCAGTTCTTCGGCCATGCGCGCGGCAAAGAAAGTGATCACGGCGGCCGACAGGGCAAAGCTCAGCCACATCCCGTAAATCTGCAGGTTTTCCCGAGCGATAGGGAACGTCTGCAACGGATAGAACTGAGCCAGCAACAGGGTATAGAGGGTCAGCGCGATCCCGGACAGCACCACCGAGTAGCGCCACGGCAAGGTCACGGCGGCGATGGTCAGAGGCACCAGGTAATACGAAACGAAGGGGTTGGTGGAACCGCCGGAGAAGTAAAGCAACACACTGTGGATAAACAGGTCGCAAGCCAGTTGCAGGGCGTACTCCAGCTCGGTCACCGGCCAGGTGGTGCGCAGCCGGATGGCGGTAAACACACAGAGCACGGTGGAAAAACCCAACGTCACGCCCAGTTGCAGCCACGGCAGCGGCAGCAGATCGAACCAATAGGCAAGCCCGACCGAGCCGGCCTGAGCGGCCAGTACCAGGATGCGGATGAACGTCAGGCGCCAGAGGTTCTGGCGAGTGGCGGAAGTCAGTTTTACGGCGGCGAGCATGAGCTCTCCCGATGAGTGCTGCAGGCAGATCGGCAGGAGTATAAACGAAGCAGACCGGCTGGCACGGCGTGTGTGGCTCTTTGACGCAGGCACACTGAATGACCGTTCGTCGCCCACACGACAACCTGTAGGGAATGTGTAAACCCGAAGAACCCGACATCAACGTCTACAGTCATATCCACAGGATCAACCCAAGGAGCTTTTATGTCTCGTTTCATTCGCAGCGCCGCCGTTCTAACCCTTAGCGCCAGCACCCTGGCCAGCCTTTCGGCGATGGCGGCCGATGAACTGCACTACAACCAGATCTCCCTGCGCGCGGAGGCCAGCCAGGAAGTAGCCCGCGACAAGATGATCGTGACCCTTTACACCGAAGCTCAAAACGCCGACCCCGCCAAACTCGCAGCCGACATCACCACTACCTTGAACACAGCGTTGGGCCAAGCCCGCGAAGTCAAGGCCGTCACTCTGCGTCAAGGCAGTCGTAACAGCTACCCGATCTACGACGACAAGAACCAGAAAATCACCGGCTGGCGCGAGCGCGCCGAGCTGCGCCTGGAAAGTGCGGATTTCCCGGCGCTGTCCAAACTGACGGGCGAGTTGCTGAACACCCTGAAAATGGACAGCATGAACTTCGCCATCGCCGACGCCACCCGCAAGGCCAGCGAAGACGCTCTGCTCAAGGACGCGGTCGTGGCGTTCAAAGCGCGCGCGCAACTGGTCACCGATGCGCTAGGTGGCAAGGGCTACAAAATCGTCAACCTGAACTTCAACACCAATGGTTATCCACAACCCTACGAACGAGGCGGGATGATGATGAAAGCCGCGGCGATGGATTCGGCTCCGACGCCGCAAGTCGAGGCCGGTACCAGCCAGGTCAACATGAGCGCAGATGGAGTGATCGAAGTCTTGCAGTAACTGTTGCAATCCACAAAAACGGCCCAGCCTGATAGCTGGGCCGTTTTTTTGGCCTGCCGTTTTATCCATGGCATATCGTTCAGCGAACACGCCAGACAAACCCTCCGTCAATAAACTCAGCGTTATTAAACAAGCTGATGAGCAGCGCAGCTCACACCCAGAACCCAGTAGGCCTTTACTTATATTGTCAGGCTAACATCACTGCCCATCCATAAAAGTTGAACCACTCCTCTACGCGCCGCCACATAGTTAAGCGAGGCTGAATCCAACTCAGCGGCCAGTTGATCGACCACCCTCAAAGGAGTTTTTCATGCCACTCGCTATTCCAGCACAGAGCACCTGAAGCACAAACGCAAAACACTTCAGTGAAGAAATTAAATCCAAGGACAGGGTCACCAAGCACCATCAGGAGAGCGGTGCAACGTCTATGTCTGACAGACAGGCATAGAGGCAACTTTATTCGAGCGCTCATAGGGATGATGGGATTGCGAAAGTGAATCCAATGAAGACGACAGAACATGTGATCTGACCCAGCCTCAAGATACTCGCAGTTGATAAAGCAGCCGGCACACCGATGCCATCACGCCCCCACGAATAAAGTGAGCCTTTAATGAACATACAGTCAGTTGTGAGTCCACCGACCGTACACAGGCCTCATGCCCCTGCAATCAGCCCCCCGTCCTCTCAACGCACGACCAGCGAGCAAGACAAAAGCCGCTCATCGCAAGCGCCAGGTCCAGCCACGGCC